AGTGATATCCAGCAGCTAGCATTGAAAAGGTAAAGCACCTGCACACCGACTCTTACGTTTGACATTTTCAGCAGTCAGTTCAGCTAAAATGCACAACTTAATAATTCGTTTCAATTTTATTTTTTAGTAATTACTCAAGCAAATAAAATAAAAATAAATGATGGTCAAACGCATAACAGGCCCATATTTTAATTTGCCCTCCAAGATTTTATCGGTAGATCGCCAGCCCGAGGCTGTCATCGATATCTGGACGATATTAATAAACAGAACAAAATATATGTTAGAGCTGTTAGAAACATGCACTGGGGTTGCAAAAGAATATTAACAATAATTTGAACCGAGATAGTATTACTAATGAAGAAGTACTCAAGAATAAAACGGAAGGAAGAACACTATGGAAAAGCTTGCTGATTAGAGTCAAACTGAGTGCATTGGTCGTATATATCAGACACGAGTGCTTACTGAAATTAATTATAGAAGATGCAGTGGTTAAAGTGAAAAACCACATTGGATGACCTACATGATTGAATAAATATATCTTTTAACAAAAAAGGGAACTGATCACGGTCAAACAATAATATTGGTTTACGTTCGGAGATGAATTGATGAAAAACACAATAACATTCATAAGCACACTCATATATAATATAAATATCTAAGCAATTCTTGGACGATATCAATAAAAGAAGAATAAAATATGTTAGAGGCGTTCGAAATGTGTGATAGTCAAGCAGAACGGCGTCCAAAAGAATCTGGTCCGAGAGTGTAAAGCCGATGAAGCAGTACATAAAAACATATCGGGAAGAAGAATACTATAAAAAAGCTTACTGATTAGAAGACAAACCGAGTGGATTGGTCGAATATATATCAAACACTAGAGCTCACTGAAATTAATTATAAAAAGGGAGGACTTTAAATGGAAAAACCTCACATAGAATGACCCACAACAGGAATGAATAAATAAAGCAATTAATGAAAGAGCAAAGTCGCAAACGACAGAAACGAATTTAGAAAAGCTGCAAATCAATCTGAGAATTTAAAAAAAAAAAATGCCGATCGAAAGCGCCCGACAGAGAGTAATTCTATACTTACATATATATTATTATAAAGTATTATACTACGCGTACGATGTCTATGAAATATAATATTGTGTATTGTAATAATATATTATATTACCATTTCCGAGTTATTTTGTTTTACCCTCTTTGACACGACGTGTCGGTCACAATAAAATTTGTGATGCCATGATATAGTGTTATTATATTGTTATTATTATCAACTTCGGGTCCGAGAAATCACTCTGTGCCAAAACTTTTTGTCCAAAATAGCTTGTAGACGGAATATTTTCGTTTCTAGATCAATAATATTACATTATTGTTTGAATTCCCACACCGGTAATTGATACATCTGAGCTGCACATGGATCTCATCTATCCGAATGATAATAATTTATCAAAATATTTAAACAAGATAAAGTACAATAATAACATAATATTTATAATTCAAGCACGGATTTAGGAAAGGAGAGATAAGGAGCTTTAGCCCCTTCCCACTATTTGGAAATGGCATAAATTAGTATGTATTTATTTTTAAAATAATTATCTAATTCATACATCATTAAATTCATACATTTTGATTATAAATACGATTTTACTTTATGATTATTTTCCATTATGTTGCAATATTATAATTATTGTATTTTTTCTTAAAAAAACGTGGTTCTCCTCGCAAATTTCAGACTTCTAGATCCGCTTTGGTATAATTTATATACATATAGTAAATAGGTATTTGTTATGACAACGACCTTAAATGGAGTGCGAAATCGTTTTTAAAGCATGAATTTTTTTTTTTTTTATATTATCGCTCAAAGTTGTTTTTACTATTAAATAATGTAAGCAAAATTACTTAAAAAAGTGTTTGAAACTCTGAGCGTTGTGGGACAGCGGGAGTGGTGGCTTTTTTCAGCTCTTCGAAATTCTCGGTCGACCCGCTTGGCGTTTTTGGCTGTATGCTTTTTATATTAAAAAATATTGATTTTCTTTTTACAGAGAATATTAAGTGTTCCCGCGCCGAATACTTTTCGAACAAACCACGGAGTTTTAATTTGTTTTTTTTTTTTTTGTTTAATAAACATTTTTTCCCGGCAAGTACATCTCGGATAATAGTAAGCGGCGTAAAATAACTCTACCCGCAACTGCTATAATATTGGTAGTATAATATAATATTATGTCAGGGCCGGCATATGATGGTGATGATTTCAAAGTTGGGTCATTAAAAATATTATTATGATAAGTAGGTCCTTTGCTTCACTTACAGAGACAAAGTTTAGAACAGTGTCTTCGATTTGCCGATTTATTGCAATAATGATTACCAATATTTATGCTTTTTATTTTTTACTAATAAGATGTATACGTATAGGTCTTATCTTTTATGTTCTTCATGGGATTCCAGAGTATTTTCGTAAATAAAAATAACCGATTAAGAGTAATATGCTACCATTCCACATCTTGAAAAAAATAAAAACATACAAACACCTATAGATCTTTGTTTGTCAAAGCTAATGGTAAATATTAAATTATGCGGATATTAAAATAATATTATTTTGGACGCAAACGCGGAAATATTCAGCGTGAAATTGACGTAAAGAATAAAAACATAAAATACAACACTAAGTACCTAAATACCTACTGTATATTACTTAGTACTGGGGCACAGAACGTTCATCCGACATAAAATGAAAAATACGATCGACTGTTTCGGTACTCGCCACGTATCTGTCAGTTCTGAATTTAATGTGATACGAATGAACAATAATTATAATTCTTAACAATACGATAATGAGCGAAGTGTTGTCGGTGATTGCTTCACAATAATATATTACCTACATTGATTCGATTACGAGCCCGCGACAAACACAGGCGAAATAGTTAGTGTAGTTGCATATTAGTCCTAGAAAACCAAAGTTCAAAATAATCAGTTGGGGGTAACACACCACGCCCATCACGAGGGTCACTTGAGATAAGTAGTATAGCCTCACGGGAGGTCCCGTTGGATACATTTTGAAAATAAACAATATAAAGTCGAAAAACGTCCTCCCTTCGTCGTAAAACCAATTAGACAGTAATAATCATCGTAACGACGATCATATTATTATTTTTATTAATAATAAAGACGACAGTTGCGGTGAGCCACGATTGGCGACGTCCAACCCAGTACGCCATCTCGTCGAAAACGTTATTAAATGATATATTATTATACTGTATATTTTTTTTTAATATCGAAACGAAAAAAAAATATTTACGTTTTATTCGCACGTGCTATCGTTATTGTCATTATTATTATTATGTTTGAGTTTGCGGTCGTGGTTTGCGGTTTCCGATACACTGGCGCACGACGACAACTTACGTCTCCTCCGACGCTGCTAATATTATTGCCAGGACGTACACACGCGCGCATGCGCCTTGGTTGCAACGCTCATTGGGGCACTTAGCGAGTTACTGTCACGGGCACGAGTGTGTGCGGCGTGTGCGAGCACAACATATTATTGGCCCGTCGGGATTCGCGAAAATGCGTTTGACAAATAAAAGAATTGTAACGGGGTGATATTGTTTTGCGGGGAAAACTGATTTTCCGAGCGTTCGATAACCGTTTCCCTGTTTACCAGAAACATTAACGAACGGCGAAGTGCATATGGCTCAGTGTTTGAACAATGAACACACACCCACACACACACACATTCACACTGATTTGGTGATGTGTATAGGGAATAATAAATATAATAGGTACCTACTGCAGACGTTATAGTGAGGATTATAGACACAAACAACCGAATCGTTACGGGGGGCTTAAGTCCCCCCAATATATTTACCAAAAAACAAAAAGAGTGATCACGTGGGAGGTCACCACTTCCCCACTATAATATAATATATAATCATACACAATATTCATCTAAACAAAAATTATTATTAAACCTTATTATTTAAGTACAATAGGCAACACATTTTGTATGGAAAATACAACAAACCGCCATTGTTATTGTTTACCTTAGACTCTGCGTGCTCTGCGTGTTTATAGTTTTCCATGTTGAACTACTTATCAGAAATAAAAGATCACACAATTAAAATTGTTAATTAGTTTTTATATTTTCGTAAGATTATTGTCGGTTTTATTTTCCAAAAAAGACAGATAAGCACAATGAGAAAAAGTGCCTACTCAACGATGACATTTTGATTTGGAGCATCGATAGTTGACAGAGACTTTTGGGGGCTATGTTCGCCGAGCCCATACTCTATAACCGCATATGCAGTGAAGTATATTAGGTATTAGAAGACGATAACATTATCATCGATTTCGCGTCATCGACAGCAGTTGTAGTGAATAGTGATGACGAATATATAATTATTGTTTGTATAATTATCATTCCGTTTCAATTACTTTATCGTAAACAATACGATTTGAGAATTTCAGTGCTAGGATGACTCAAGACAGCACAAGATAGCTATTATTGTGCACATCTTAATGGTTGAGATAAATTAAAAAATAAAATAAAATAGAATATCACAAAATACATAATAATAATATCAGCAATGAGTTATATTCAACCAAATCGACAGTAAAATATATAATAAGTCATATTCATATATATTATATGTATAATATATATATTTTTAATAATACAATATCACAATATTCCATTTAAATATAAATTGGTATACAATTAATTATACATTTTATTATTTTATTCTTTTAACCAGTATTATAATTTTATTATATATTATCATTATCATTGTTATTATTTATCATTTAGAGTTATATCCAAACAAATTTTACACAATATATGATTAAAAAAAAAAATTCTGTACATAATACACATAGTAATATATAATTTTTATATTAAATTTTAAACACGGTAAAATATTATTATTTAATACAAAAATAAAATACGACGTCTTTGGCAAGTGCATTTCAATATTATAATAATCGGTCGTTTTTTTTTATATAATATATATATATAAGCTAGAAGAATTTTACAAACGAAAAAAACAAAACAAAACCGTATAAACTGTGTTTCGCGTACGGTTAAACCCATACAAAACAACACACATCATGGGGGGAGGGGGTATAGGTGGGAACGTGGGATACATGCAAACAATAAAATGTTTATAATATCATAATCGATTCACTATCAATCGATATAATATCAAATAACTATTATATATAATATATATGTATGAACATATATATACGACAGGAACTGTGTGTGCCAATATACGATAAATTAAAATTCGTCGCAGTTATTATTACTAAGAAAAAAAAAATAAAGAAACGGGGCGTCGAACGGCCGCAAAGTTCCGTCAAAGTTTTAATACGCCACTGGGTCATGTGGCGCGCACGCTGTAGTGGCTTTAGAAACCCTCTAAAATCGTGAGTTCAAGGATGTTACATATTATTATTATTATTATTTAGGATATATTATATTATAAATACGTATACCATACATGGTATACCCGGTATTATAATATTATAATCATACGAACAAGTATAATAATACCTAGGTAAATGTATAGCAACATAATTTGATAACAAGTCGGTATTCTGTTATAATAATATAATATAATACCTACTATACCTATATCACAAGATAGGTCGAGAACATTTAGGGCTTATAAGGGGATACGAGTTCAGCCCTCTCTCCACTGGCGGAAACTTTGCGACCGGTCCGGTAGTCCGCGTACCGTTGGCTTAAATAAAAATAAATTTAAAACCAACAAAACGAGTAAATTTATAAAATTATACTATGAAAAAAAAAAACAAAAATCATAATAATATAAATGTTCATGCTCGAGAATCATTCGACTGCAGTAGGTAGGTAGTTATCCTAACATCCTGTCGGTTTGTAAGTTCGTATCAGTCGTTTGCGGCCCACGAAATCGCACGTGGACCTGAGTAGCTTGGTTTTTCTCCTAGAACATCATAGTCCTATTAACCCATAAGTTTACAGGTCTCCGGGAGACCAAGAGTCTTCCAACAGAGAATACTTTCCAATACCTAGGAGCGCGATCGAGAAGTGTGGACAAAACGTGCACTATGACAATACTATTATTATTATTAATCGTATCGCGTTTTGGCGGGAGTATATCATTCGACACACACCGTATAATATCATGATATTATTGAAAACTTATACTATGGTAATATTAAGCATACGACGACACACAAATACTGATTTACAAGGTGGTGGTGGTGGCGGCGGTCGTCGGTCGGCCGCCGTGCATATTATAATATTATATTATGGTATATGCCGTCGCGTGCACTCGTATTATGGGTACACGGTGGCGAAAAAAAAACCTGGAGAAATAAAAAATAAGCCCGGAGGGCCATATATATATATACTGCACACGGGACGGCTATAATTTAAAAACGTTTTGCGCACGGCGGCATTGCGTTTGCGAAACGCTGAAAAAAAAAACGTAAAAATAATAATAATAAATAAAAAGTAAAAAAAAAAAACCGTTTGGGTGAATGAAAAGATGAGCGGGATTTCATTCCCGGTTTCTTTCTTTGGTCGGTTTTTTTTTTTTTTCATTTTCCTTGGCCACGACAAAGGGACGCTCCCGTACCCACATCCATGTGATGTTCTGCTGCAGTGTGTGCGTAGACAGGTAGGCGCGCAATGTATAATATATAATACAGGTATGATAAGGGGGGGGGAGAAGGGAAGACATTCGAAATATACGTCGCGATAACAAAAGAAGACGTTAAGTACTCTGCAAAACTGTGTGTGTGTGTGTTTTTATCCTCCAGTCGTACTATACACTCGCACGGATAAAAAAGAGTAAGGGAAAAAAAAACAAAACGATATACGCGTGTCCGTATATATTGTATGATACGTATATATGATTGGTGTCGGAAAACAACGCTTGCGGTTTCGAGGGCGCGGGGCGTTTTCTACTCTCGTATATCTTTCGGAGGGATGGTGTCTCTCGCTCTGAATCTCACTCCACCTCTATCCCTCGGAAGTCGTACACAAAAATTGATTACAACGCGCGCGCGACTGTGTATCGAGAGCTCGCGGATACCGGGCGGGGTAAGAGGATTTCGTTGGACCGTTGCCCGCATAGTATTCGGAGCAAAGGAAAAAAAAAAGGTTAAAAAAAACCCGTGTAAAGAAATTATGGAAAAGGAAAAGTGTAATATAGGTAGGTAGTAAAAAAAAGTAGATTTGAGTCGTTGATACAGCGAGCTGCCATCGAGGAGAAGTGAGCATAATAAAGTAACCACCACGCGCAAGAGAGAGGGAGGGAGAGAGAGAGAGAGAGAGAGAGAGAGATAGAGAGTGAGAGAGAGAGGCCGACAAGAAAAATTAAAAAATAAATAATAATGAACTCAAACGTTCGCGAAAACGTAATTCATACTCTATTTCATTCTCCGTGGATACCTACTCACGCACACACACACAAGAGTTTTCATCATAACTAATAAAGTTCTATATTATAAACAGCCTTTTTGTAATAAGTAATACCATACAACGATAAGGTATTGCGTTACAATATTCATCTGTTTCATTCGGTTTGACGAATTTCTATACGTAACTTCCGCGGTTTTCGCGGCAATTATATTTTTGTTTGCGATTTTTTTTAAAAGAGCTGTCTTGCCTACTGTAGCCTCTGCAGTGGCCTGTCAAGAATTCGATTCCATTAAAATCGTGTCCCGTCGTGAACATTGTTGTCAAGGTAAAATGTAAAAAAAAAACCAAAAATAACATGGTCAGAACATCAGAAGGTCCGAAGAATCGCGCCGAACCCCGTTAACGGAATTTTGTCTATTGGACGGGAATTCGAGGGTCGATTTAAAAATCGAAAATGCGTGAGGATAAAGATATATATATATATACTGTATACTATAACACTGGGAACGGATCTGAGAAGGACCAGGTCGGTATATGATCGCATAGTGACGGGTCGGGTAAGTTTTTCACATATTGATTTAGGTATATTACCCGCCGCAGGTATTTGCGTCCCCCAAAAGTTTCGATAAAAGTTATTAGGGATATTATGTTTTAATCTTTCAGCATAAAAAAATAACATCACATTTTTAAACGGTAGGATACAACCAAAATATGTAATAAAAAAGAAAACAACTAAGAGTTAAAAACATCTATTATGATAATACACTATCGTCTAACGTTGACCTTTTTTTATTTGCATTTTTAGATGAATATAATAATATATAATATATTACTATTATCTGCAACATTACTGCAAACGGTTGCGTATTTTTTTTTTCTATTTTAAAATCGATCAACATGATTTTACACGAACGGATGAATAACGGCTATTATGTATGCTATGCGATCGGTTCTCCTATCGCGATACAAGTCGAGAGTAGGTACGTGAAAAAAGTGATTTCATACAATAATATTACCGATACTGCGTTAGCCAAACTCAACTGTAGACTAATACGGATCAGACAAAAGCGTAATATCATAAAATATGTGGGTACAAGTGTCTGCAGGCTAAAGTAAGTTTCAAAAACATTGAGCAGAAAAAAAAATGATGAATCATTCAATCTAAGTAAAATACGATTTCATCGTCGAATTTTAATGATTAGGTATATAAATACCTACAATATTACTAATAAAAAGCTCAATATTAGAAAAACGTAAGTACATTATATTGTAAAAAAAATGTTATAAATCCGTTACCTGAGGACTACAAGTGTGCTCGTCACATACCATTATTTGAAAAACGACAAGTCTCGAAGTTTTGCATTTTGATCATTCTTAAAAAATGTGCTGACCCAATCCATCGAAAATATCCCGAAATTCAACCACGGTAATATTTAAAATCATATTTGCTGGGTTTTATGTCTGCACCGAAAATAGTTTGACAGCCCTGTAATATTGACTCGTTGTGAAATCGCGTGTCAATCATATGTTGCTATATTTTAAACACGGACATACTGTATTTTGGACGAGAAGCGGTCTCAACACACGCGTGGGTCGTAAAACCAAAGTTACCGCTATAGTATAATTTCATAATACAAAGTGCTTGGCGGTCGTAAATTCGATTGCAATCCGCGCAAGATTACAAGCCAGAGCCAAACGTGGAGCGAAAACTATGGTGGACGAAGTGTATAAGAAGTGAGGGTTCGTCATTGAAGTAGTAAAAGTATAGTTTAAGTAACATGGGGTTCGTGGTGGACTCGATCCCTGAAACAATTCCCAAACCGACCAAAAAAAATTCCCACGATTGATGAGTATTGTTTTTTTATAACATGACGTATAATATTTAAAACGTTAATTAATATTAATTCATAAGTTGCATTTTATTTTGAGTTTAAAAGTAATTGATTGTTGTTAAAAATAGTATATTATTTATACAGTAACATTATTAAGTTAGCCAAGTTTTGATTTTTTGCTGTGCTATATGCATATAGTTATTATTAGTTGATGTTTGATTATAAATAATTGTCATTTATAATATGTCATGTGTATTATTGCAGGGCACATATAAAATAAACTTATACCTACGTCGTAATCTGATGCGATTAACTAAAATAATTATGGTTTTGATAGGATAGAGGATAGTTATGCGTATTGGCTCACCTAGTTGAAATGCTATCTGTATTTAAAAAAGTTCACCAAGAGTCGTAGTACTTCTTTAAGTACAGTAACAATAGTTGTGAGTCACAGGTGACGTTTAATGCGAATCAGTACAATATTTCTACCGGATCACCGTTGGAGAAATTTGTGTGTCGTAATAATAATACTAACTAAATGAGTCATATACGGTGTGTTCAATTAACAATATTTACTACGGTGGTGAGTCTACACGGCTGAACAAAAATGACAAAATAAGATCGAAAAAAAAAATCAAAATAACAAAAAAAAAAGAAAGAAATTAACAGATAAAAAAAAACTTATATATCGTAAAAACGTGTATTGTATATTTTACTTAAGAGCGTCGGTCGACATCAAACGTCAGTTCCGCATCCTTCTTGGTATCCTTCGTCCGGCGACCCCTTGTTCAGTGCCCGCTTGAGCGCGCTCAGCGGCGGCATCACCTGCACCCCGTGTTTCCACACCCTGAGACTGGCCGCCTTCGGGTCTGGCGCCGAGGCCACCATCACCGTTTCTCTGGCGTTGCAGATAGCCGCCACCGACTGCGCGGGCAGGGGCGGTGACTTCTCGATGATCGGCGTCCGATCGCTGGCCGCCGAGTCCGACTGCGTCCAAAAACCGGGCGAGTAGAGCGAATCGTCGGCCGTCCTCCTGTACTCACCACTCGCCGACCTCCTGGCCTCCTGATGGTGCTGAGAGTGTACGACACCGGGTGGCTGAGACTGAGGGGACTGCTGTTCGGGCGCGTCCACTATCAGGTCCGGGTTGGACGGTTGGCTCCGGTACAGCACGGTCCGGCTGGCGTCCAGCACTCCACTGTGGCCGAAACCAGAAGCCTCGTAGTGATCGGTGGCGAACGGAAGTTCGGTGAGCTTTGCGGGTCTCCTGACCCCGCCGACCATAGGCTCTGCAGCCGTAACGTGGTCGAACGTGGTGCCGAGTCCTCCGTAAGGGCCATTGACCGCCATCGATGATACGACCGTGGTAGTGATCGGGGATGTGGCGGGACCGGACGCGGGCTGCTTGACCTGCACAACTACAGCGGCTGTACCGTTTCTGATCGCCGACGCCGCGGTGGTGACCAACTGGTGCGGCTTGCCATCAGACCGGGTGGACGAGGGCGGCAGCCGCTTGATTCGGACCAGTAGGTAAACGATGACCAGCAGTATGGTGACGATAAGGAAAACCAGGAACACGCTAAGGCCGGCCACCTGACCGTTGGCCAGGAATGCGAGACCACCGAGCCGGGAGACGACCAGCGTGAAGTTAGCCTCAGCCCGACCCGCCCGGTTTTCGGCCACGCACAGGAACTGTCCCGAGTCGGAAGGCTGAACGTTAGTGAGCAGCAGTGAGCTGTGGCCGGTTCCACCACCGGTGGCCGTCCGGTCATCGGTCATGAACACCCGCTGGAATGGACCGAACGCTGTGTTGTTGGCCAGTGGCCGACCGTTCCAATACCACGACACCTTGGCGGCCGGTGAAGAGTGGACACGGCACGAGACGGACGCGTTGTCGCCGGTGGCCGCCTGCACGGTTTGGTCGTCCTGCTGCAGGATGTCGGGTTGACACGCAAAATCGTCGGCGGCCAGCGCGGAGAACGTGCGGTTGGCCACGCGGCCCGGGCCACTTGCGCACGCAGGATCGACGACCGTCGGCACATTGTTGTCGGTCAGCCATACCTTGACCGGCCTCATCCGGCAGTCACAATGCCAAGGGTTTTCGTGCAGCTCAACTCCATGCACTTTGTGCAGGGAGGCCACAGTGCCAGCCATTAGCTCGGTCAGCCGGTTGTTGTCCAACTTGAGCGTCTCCAGCCGGTCGATGCCCACGAAAGCACTGGCCGCGATCTCATGCAGCTCACACCCGGACAGGTCCAACCGGACGAGACCTGTGCACTGGCGGAACGCTTCCGGTCCTACTCGCTGTATGGGGTTGCCGGCGAGTGACAGGTCCCGGAGTAGTGGCACGTCTGCCAACGTGGCCGTAGGCACCGCAGTCAGCATGTTCCGTGACAGGTCGATCTCAACGGCGTTGGTCAGGCCCCGTAGCGCCCGGCCGTCGATCTGCCCGATCCGGCACCGGGACATGTACACGCGCTGCAGGTTGAGCAGCCCGAGCCGGGCGAACGCACTTCCCGGAAGTATCTGCAGGTTATTGCCGGACACGTCCAGCACCTGCGTGGCTACATCAATGCCCGTTGGCACCGTGATCAGCGACTTGTCGCGGCACTCGACACTCTGCTTGCCACCTTTCCACTTGCACTGGCACGCGTCTGGGCAAGCGTCGGCTCGGACCGCGGTCGAGCTGGCGGCCGCCAGCACCGCGGCCGCCAGCCACAGCTGCCACGGACGGGCCATCACGCGACGTAACCCGTCGCCCGAGCGTGGCCGCTGGACGACGGTGGTGACGGCGCCGACGTCGTCACGACGTCGGCAACACGAGTGACGCCCGCCCGACCAATCACCTCTGCCGTCGCCACGCGCATCGAAACGCGCGTGAAAGTGTGACGAAATGATTTAAAGCGACGGTCGGTTTGAGATTTACAAAACAATGACGGTGTATGTGCGTTACACCTCTGTTCGATAACGTTAATTATATTATTATTGTTGTACTCACGCACGGCTGGACGACGATCACTATTTTTCGTACACTGTTTAAAAATTAAAAATTAAAAGCAAAAACACTGTGAAAATGAGGCGGAAATCGAATCTTTATCAAGAGATCCAAAAAAACATCCACTCTATTAAGCGAGACAAACGCTGCGCGAGACGACGACGGCGAGGACGAAACGACAATCGCACACGGCAACACGTAATCCAAACGATGTCCGACGGTCGACTGGCGCACGGGGGAAAAATACGTCTGTCGGTAGCGGTGGTGCACCGGCGGCGGCGGTGGCGGCGGCGGCGGTACCGGGCGTAATACGCACCGAGCAGCGCCATCGGGTGGCCGGACGTCCAACCAACATCACGGTAACCACCACCCGGCGATTCATCACGGTCACGCGTAGATCGGCGCAGATCGAAAGGGTGCTAACCTAACCTAAGGGCGCAAGGGTGCTGCTACTGCTCATCACCCTGAATTCTAGACCTACGATAGTTGTTAAAACGATGTCCTTTACTCCATTTGACTACTATACACCCCCTATGGTAATAATATTGGTCACAAATAATTCCCTTTTAAATATTTTCGATTTGCGTCAACCAAATATTTTTATTAAGTATATTACTATTAAACTTAAATATTACGTATAAATTATACCCAATATAAATTTGGAGGATTTGAATTTAATATTGTTATATTTAAATATCTTCAGATGTATAATGTACTACAAAAATAAAAAATAAAAAATTGTAGTGTGATGAACTGTGAACACACATTATATTCAAAAAACATTTATTAGGTATCCTTTTTATGAAGAATTGTGTTTGTTAGTTAATCCATCTATCATCACTAGTGTTATAAATCATTACATTAATTTTAAATAATCTGAATTCTGTAACAGAATATTTTCATAAAAAGATAGAAATATAGAATACCTAAAAATATGTAATATTATATTAAATTGGTTTTCGATTTCTCTTCATACCAAAAATAACGAGTATTTACTATTTTGAGTTCCGAATTTTTGGTGGGATGTTCTATTGATATACCGGAACCGAATAGATTTTTTTATTTTTTTATTATTATATGTATTAATGTATTATCCGTGGTGGATCATAACTTAATCAATACACCACTAGATTTATGGAGTAGAATTGTTTTTATTGAATCATATCAACATTGTAGAAATTGTGCTTATAAACTTTAATAAATAGTTAGGTACTCTGAATTAAATTTTCAAAAAGTTGAATCTACATAATGTCTTTTATTTCGATTACGATTAGGTTAGGTAATGTCATAGAATTTATATTGTGATTTATCAATCATAAAAAAATAAAATAACTTCTATGCATTTGATTTGAATCCAATTTTTCTATATTATACTCAAAACTATAATTTGTTTGCGTTTTTAGGACAAAATAATATCTAAATTTATTTTTCATATTTATAATTTAAATAGATGCTATAAGAATAATAATAATTGAAATAAAATAAAATAGAAAATATACATTGAAATGTCATCAAAGTCAATGAATTTCAATTTTATTATGTAATTTGCAATACATATAGTAAATTCGGAATATCGATATTACGATCATTGTACCTATTCCTCAAAGATAAGTTAATATTTTATTTGTGGTATTGTGATAAACGATAATCCAGTCTGAGTGATAAATTCTATGCGGACAATAATATTTTCGTTTCGTCGTATTTGTTAGTCACGTTTTAACAGTCGATTTTCAAATTTTCATATGCTTCTGAATAGCGAAAATCATTAGCAAACCAATTTTATTTTATTATTCACTTTTTCTCAAAATTACTGAAAATCGATATCAAAAATATTCAATAAAAAACGTACATTTCATCATAAAAGTTAGTATAAAGTTAATGTATAATTAGCCATTTATTTACGTAATCTTCCAATATCGGTAGTCAATGATAATGAAATTAAAATAACAGACAGTTATTTTTTTTACTCAATATTTTTCTTATTTAAATAAACCTCTTAAAACTGTAATACTGTCAATACACAAAATATAATAATATTTTTAGTATTATTACATTATGTTGTTTGTTTATCACTAAAAATTAAAAGTAAGTAAAACATTTAAATGAAAACCCACATATTATTATTTAAATTCGTAACTATAACAGTATAAGCTGGCAGCCATTATACGAGTGGACTATAGCATCAGCACCAAATATTGTGTAAATATCTACAAGATTTAAACTTTAAAGTAATGTATTCAGTCTGTTTTGATTGTAGTGGTTTTATAATGACAACGTCAAATTAAGTGATCTCGGCGCGACTGCATGTCAATCATATTAATTTGCTCTGGTAAATTAAATGTGGAATGTAAAATAGGTTTTGTCACAATTTATATTTTTTGAATTAGATTATTTTATTTGGCAATTCCTGTAAAAAGCCTATATAAATGTGGCATATAATATAATGTGCTGCATCCGTTGTTATGTCACAATATTTTGCTTTTAGTATCAGCCATCACCCTAATTCTACCAATATTTGCACCATTGCAAAAATATGTAGAGGTGCGAAATGTGCTGTGAGAATAACTTTAGTCAACTCGTCTACCGTGATGTAGTATAAAACGTCAAAGGCATTTTCAATTATAGGCCTTATGAATAGTCACAATAATATCATATTTATGCATAATTCTATTATTCTCCACCGGATTTCGATAATGTGTTTGTAATGTGATCGATTGCGTGTTACTATTTTCAACTATTTTACTTCCCAAATCTTATTGTTGAATTCATATGAAATAAAATAAAAAATTATTGTTGTCACTTTTTTTTATTGCCTAACAATTTTTCGATTGCTGCATTAAACTTTTTCTGGTATTTCATACTTTATTAGTATACTACTATATTTGTTAATATATGATATTATGATACTTAATACTACAAAACACTTGTATTTAAACATGTTTATGAGTTAATAAATATTATAATTACAAAATACACTCGTCGCACAAACACCTCAGCAGAACATACCCATTGGATGAGTACTAGCTGAGATAAGTTTTCATAAATTGCATGGATTAAGTTCAATTTCGTCATAATATTATTTTTCACTAAAGAAGCCGAGTATCGAGTATTCGATGATAATTGTTCGTCTTAAAAGTCACTCACCCCGACATACTGTCATGAAATATGTGTGAGCCGTCGTTCTCCTACTGAACTGGTACCTAATTTACGTCAATAACTGCAAAGCTTAGACAATTACAACATTTGCCAAATCACAGGTAAAATTGACAACATTTACCTCGCTTACGTCTTCACCGTGAAATAATATTGGAATATACAGCAAAGCCTAAAACAAGTAACCTACATTGTCATAATAAATCAATATAATGTGGCCGTTTACTGTTCTTTTACATAAATATAAATAATTGAAATACGCAGCGGTCTTGTATCGAGGTGTATTATAAAACATTTCAATGGCATCGTGGTAAAACGAAAACGGAAACATTTTAAAACGTTGCAGTATCGATTCAAGTTAAACGCTAAAATCTATTACCATCAGACCTATATAATAATACATGACGTTATTTTAATGTATATAAAAAACAGGCTTTCATATGTATCGGGCTTTTGGTTGTTGTTGCAGTGCGACAAAGAGAACGAGTTGTGGGTACTTCCCGGCCGCCCCGGACTGTACCACAGAGAGAAAAACGCTGAAATTCGGTTTATTTGTCATATGCGATTCTCCTAAAGGTCAACACTCGACTGTTCAATATCCCCGTCAAAGATTGCCACCGGAACACACAAAGTAAATGGGGACCGTTAGAGTCCAAATATATAATATTATAATATTATACATTTGAATATTATTATTATTATGATTATGATTTTATTTTCGACGGCAGTCTGCAGATTTTTTGCAACGATGGGTATTATTTATTTTGAGAAATATTTATTCCTATTTTTGAACGAAAAAATCGTTAAGTACACCACCATATAATAGATCGAAAATCAAACAGAGAACGTGTAACTTTGAATACATCCCACATATTCTACATAATATTTTGTCATTGAGTTATTTTAAACATAATATCCGCCGAAACTCATTTATCACGTTTTTCTTTCTTTCTAGCCGTATGATGTACTAGACAGTATATGCATCTATGAGAAAAGATGACTTGACAGTTAAATCCGGCCAAATCGTCCGTCGTTTGTCCATCGTCAATGGTCACTTATAAATATTCTCGAGCACGAAAATTAAATGCGCATATTGTTATCGGATATGTAGGTACCTATACGGCTACACCCGTAGCGATGCGAGACGTGACTAGAACTATTATTTGGTCGGAGATAAATCCCATCCGAACAATTCGGACAGAAGAACCGAATGTAATTATATACCTTCCTATATGCGTTACGTCCGGTTTGAGCTCAGTGGCTGGAGTGGTGTGTTTTTATCGGACATTTACGGCCCATTTGTCCGTCGGCTGTTGCTGTGCATTTATTATCTGCTCCGCGACCATTGTACTTATAATATTAGGTACCTATAATATACATATATATACGTACACTATACGCCCGCTTTGTGAAAAATACATACTCGAAATACTCGTTCGCTGACACGTGGCTCGTGCCGTAAAACAAACATTCCTGATTCCTATTTAAAAAAATAAATATATTATATATTAATATAAATCGGAGAGCTTTCTGGAAAAAAGAGGCAACAAGTAAAAACAATAGCAGGCCGATCAAAACCATCGTTGGAAAAAACGGGTTGATTTTCCCGGGTTCCGGGTACCGGGGTTAAACTGCTGAGTTATATATTTTATCAGATTTTGCTTGAGTACTGCTTTCACCCGGGTTTTATTTTTTTGGAATCCGGAAATGGTTTGATAATATTTCGAGTTCCTGGATTCTTAATATATCCGGATTAGTTCTTACCCCAAATATACATCATGTTAATTATTTTTAAATTTAAGCTTTTTGGTACCTACTTATATTTCCCATTTGAAATCGTCCACATTCGACGGATGCAGAAGAACGCAACAATAGACACGAAGTGGGTATCAACCGGAAAAAGTAAATTAAAAATTTTTAAGAATAGTGGACCAGAAAATATTTTTTTATAAGTATATGAGTATATTACGTACCAATATTTAATGGCATATTTGAGGGAAAGATATGATAAGAGGACCACCCCAATCCCTTGGGAGTTAGAGGCTTGGTTTTTTTTTTGTGTGTGC